TGAGTGACATCTAGCAGCATATCATGATTAACCTCCGAAGAGCATGAAAAAGGTAAAGAACCCATTAAGTCTATAGTTTCCACACTATTCAATCTATCTATCATACAATGTCCCAACTGAAATACTAGAGTATGAAATTATTGTCAAACATTTAACTCAATCTTATGTGTTCAATATTAGAACTAAGACTCTTAATGATCAATTAGAAATTCTTTTCTAATGATCATTCTGTCTTGGTCAAGAACTCCTTGAGTCGTATCCTATAAGATCACATAGGAGATTCTCCCTTTATTAATCAAGGCTAGTAGATTCTCTATTGTACACTTATAAATTTTCATGTATGTCTAACTATGTCCAACAATACATATCCAAGTTACGTGGTTAGTATATGAATATGTTGTATAATTAAAGTATAAAAATCAATGCACAAGACAACCATGGTGTCTCAAGNAATAGTTAAAGTATAGAAATCAATGCACAAGACAACCATGGTGTCTCAAGTTTAAGGATCAGTTGCACAACTATAACTTTATGATTTAACATTGACAGGTATATAAAACTCTATACGAAAAATCCTACATTGGTCAATGGTCACGTTTAGTGTACTTATTCTCTAACAAGCACTCACACATCTGCTTTAGTGTCCTTACACTAGTGACTTGGACGAGTCACCTCATATCAAATATGAGTAAACATAATGTGTGCTAGTCTATTTGAATTACATAGTGCCTTCATAGTAATCCTATGACAAGGAACATTTAAGAGTTAAGTATTAAGAAGTATAAGTCTCCTCTTCTTAACTCCTTGAAAAACTATTCTCTTAACTTAAATTTTATACACTATATCATGTATATTAAAATAAAATTAGTTAGTAATATGGTAAATAAGCTTGCTTTTTTATTTAATTAAATAATGAATGTTACTAGTACAATCCTAAAATATTATCTATAGGATTGGTTTTAGAGTATACTACTAACTGCCCCCACCTCCATCATGATTGGGTACATATGGAATTGTCAAGGGTTGGTCCATACCTCAACAATTCGACATTTAAGTGCGCAAATAAGAGAATTTTATCCAAGTTTCCTTATTTTATCAGAAACCAAATAACCTTACCAAAAACATAAAAAACTCATACTTGGCTTGGGTTTCCAGCACTTTGAAATACAGCATGCAAAAGGTCTTATGGGGGTTTAGCTTTACGTTGGAATAAAGATGTGGAAATGAAAATAGCCCTTTCTAACCACAACATTATCTTGAGAGTTGTAAGCTCTGACCCACGTCAGTCCCAATGGCTCCTCAATTGTGTTTATGAGCCAGCTATTAGGAGCAAACAATACCAACTCTAGGACAAAATGAACCAAATCATTAATGATTCTGTCATTCCAACTTTATTTGTTGGTGACTTCAATAATGTCAGGACACATTTGAAAAAACAAAGGGGAGGTAGACCATTTGCCTCACCTTCCAATAGTGGTTTTGGTTCTTTCATTAATAACCATGGACTTGTTGATTTGGGATGCATAGGCAACCTATTTACGGGGTCATACAAGAGAGAATGATTGGCAAACATTAAAGAAAGGATAGACAGGGGCTTGGTGACTTCGGCATGGAGGATGTTGTTCCCAAGGGCTGTAGTTAGACACCTCCCAGTTATGGAATCTGATCACTGTCCATTACTGTTAATACATTGGGGGAGAAGCTCAACTTCTTCAAACCATTCAAATTGAAGCCATGTGGACAAGAGACCCAACTAGCCACCATGTCATAAAAACCTCCTGGTTTACCAAATCAAGAGGATCCATAGCCTTTAAATTCTGAAAGAAGTTGCAAAAGACCTATACAACACTTCGAGATTGGAATATAACACACTTTGGGAATTGTATCAAATTAAGGAAAGAATGAATTGGTTGCAGCAGGCTGAACCCAGACGTGACAATATACTGGAAGAGAGAGTCTTGTACAATGATTTAGCAGAACAACTTAGAAGGGAAGAGGAGCTATGGAACCAATTCATATCTAATTTTTAATTGTTATTCTCATCATCCCATCCTCAGTTCCTACCAGACATTGACCAATTGGTCCCCTTAATTATGCCATTAGAGCACACCCTATGCTCAATTCCCACCCAAGAAGTAATCAAAGCCACCTTATTTGACATGTCTTCACTCATCAAATTATAATACAATGTATATTCAATTTGTCTTAATCTCTCGTAATATTCAATTTTTTTTCCGGTCTAACGTGTGATGCATATTGTTTCATACCTATCAGTGCCATAAATAATAATTGTATTTCGGTTTTTTCCTAATTCCTCATCTAAATCACGTACATGACTTCACAGATTTTTTTTAGGTGGGGGCATCCCTCTACGTTGATACCGCATGAGCGAATGGAATAGTTGGCAACCCTTTGGGGCTTACTCTTAAGGAATTTTTTTTTTTATGAATTTTATAATTTCGACGTGAATGATCTGTCTTTAACCAAATTGGGAAAAAATTTAATTAAAGTGTGTGTAAATTAATTTACAATCATCTGAACGTTGAAAAAAAAATAAATGGAATAGTTGGTCATGACGAACACCACCTTGTTGACCGCAAATGTTCACCTCATATTCAGATGAGACATGTGGTGTTTGTGGTGGATATGCCTCCGGCGCTGTCACAATTAATCTATACATGAGAAAGACATATGGCAACAAATCTTAAAAATATATTGGGCTCGTTTGATAGATGTATTATAAGTGAATTAAATAATTATTATTTAACATTAGATAAAATTATCTTATTTAATTTTATATTTTATCCATTTATATTATATTAAAGTGTATTATTTTATCTAATTAATCTATTTCTAATACAGTAACCAAACAAACTCATAGGATATGATGCAACATTTTAATTTGTCTTAGGCTTTCATTTATTAGACCCACATCTAGTGATCAAGACAACCCAACACACACACACACACACAGATATATATATATATATATAACTTCAACGTTTATTGTGTGCATGTATATATAAATATGTTGGGTCAATGGTTAAATACGTAAGTGATGACATAAATATGTACATTTTGAATTTTTGTTAAAATATAATCTAACATCAAACAGACAAGCTTGCAGTGACTAAAAACTTAAACATGTTCGTTTTATCGTTTTGTTAGTTTGATCTTCATTATATTAATTTTATTAATTTGATCTTTAAATTTTAATCACTAATCAGACAATTCGTCAAATTTTTTGTTACAAGTGACCACGTGTCATTTTTTAAGACGGTATCACTTGTCCAATATGTGATCATTCTGTCAAAAATTTAACGATCTGTCTATGTAATAATCATTTAAACACGTATTAAATACTTTAAGATTCATTGACAAAACATGAATACTTTAATAACCAAAAATGTTATTAATACAACTTAAAATGTAAGATAATCGAATCTAAGCGATTTATTTTATGTTTTAGAGGCTTTATGTTTCAATATATAGGTTACTATGAAATTGAACACATGCTTTCATTTATTTATTTTTTTGTTAGAGGGTATTTAAATTTGCGTCAACTACTCTTTTGAACTCAACGGATAACCACCGTTGCTTGGGCTATAACACGTGCTTTTATCAACCTAATCCAAGAATATATATTTCCTTCTCCTGAAAGTAGTGATATTAAATAGTCAAACATATCATATCTCTTGGCATTTTTTTTTTTT